ACTTCAGGCATTTTGTGGTGACATATGACTAGCCAGCAGTAATGTTTGATGTACCTTTCTATTTATTAGTAATGCAATGGTCTCTTTTAGATTCTTTCAACTGATGATCATTTTCAAAAACTCGACTTTTAACCCCGAAGCAAACAATCTGCCAGCGTCAGACTCCTTATAACAGCTGAAAAAGAGCAGTGGATTTTGTTGGATAAACAATATATCCTGTTTCAGGTATTCCCATGATGCACTTGATATTACTGCATGATTAACCTCATTCAGGAGCATACATTATGAATTAAACGTTGCCTGACACAGTTTAATAAGTGTTACTGATGGATCCAGCTTCGTTGAGGTGATGTCCACCTCAGCTTCTGTCTCCTGCACTTTCTAGATCTTCCCTTCCCTCTCTTTTAATTTTTTCCATCTCTATCTCTATGTCTCCTTCATAAATGTCACTCACCACTATATTTCTTCCACTGTCTCATACCCTTCAAATCCGTCTCAATTCATTCATGTAATGTTTTGTCGTTAGTTTACTGTTTACTTAGCAGAGCACCAAATCTGACATTCTATTTCCCCCGCACATGTTGCATTCCGATATCAATACTCTGGTGATAAATAACGAGCTGTCCCATAAACAAAAAATGTTTGATAAAATATGAAGGAAATGGAAATATTTTACAATTTTTCCATATTACATTTTTCTGTTCCTACTTGAGATTCAAAAATACAATAAAGGAACATTTCCTGTCATGTATGATCACAGTAAAAGAAAATATCCGGCCTGAGAGGAATAAGTATTTCCAAAGGCTGGCATCTGGTGGCGTCTTCTGTCGATTTCTGAGTTATGAGGAACAATCTGGGTATTCGTGTTTCGATCATAGGGTGAGTCAATCTGTCACTCCTTGTGCTGAAAGCAGCCATTGTTCAAAGCACTCTAACTGGTCAGTGAATGTTCAAACCAGACATTGTTTCAGCACCCTGGCTAGCCCTTATTGCTATGTGTTGGAACCAGCTTACTTTTTCAGAGCACTTAAATCAGACGGCGTATGTGTTGAAAACTGACGTTGCTGGAAGCATAATGGCAAGTTCATCTGTGAAAGCTTTAACACGCTGCATGTGTTTTTCTCATTCTTTTGAGTGTTTTATATAATATATAATACGGCAGGGAACTTCTACACAAAGGTAGTGAATGTTGAAAAGGCAGAATATCAGGTATTTTATGAAGAAAAGAAGTTCAAGCACATACAGTATACCAGCTTTTATAAATTGTGAATTTTTTACCTTTAATGAAGATGGAATGGGTAACTTTATCTAGCAGAACCTCAAGCGACTGTAGGAATAATGTGATTTGTTAGATTTTAAAGGCGCAGACAAACAATGTCGTCCTGCCGATAGGGGTGTCCGATCAGAAAACACTTTGTGTCGTACTCAACGGCAGTTACCTTCAATGTTTTTGTTATTTGTTTTAGAGGACCACCTGATGAATGTAAGTAAAATGTCCACTTTCCTTTTAGCTCTGTTTAGGTCTTTACTAACAGCTAAAAAAAAACATCTTTATCAGGGCATAACAGTGAGCTCTGTATGAGAAGGATTTTAATGCAGGCTTCTACGGCAACTTAAGTCACCATTTGTCATAGTGAGATCAACAAGTCCCAGCCTGACAGGAAATTAGAAAATTCCGACACCGTTAATTCCCTTTTCTCATCTGGTTTAGTTGTCTCAGTGTTGGGGTGTTTGTATTCAGAGGGTTATTCATATAAGTCATGGTCAAGTGTTGACGGATGTCCCTGCACATTCGGAGCAGAGCTCAGCTGCTGTCGGAGCGCATGGATATATCTTGTACTGTATTACGGTCTCCAGTGGATTTGTGCGTAATGTTAAAGCTGCTGTTTTCTGTCATGGCCACAGCAACAGAGCTATAAATCAAATACCCCGGGAAACTTGAAGTGCTTGGCTTTTTGCGTAGACAGATTATTTACATTTTTTTTGTTTCTGATTTTCTCAATGATTTGCTGCACTGTCTTTGATATGAAAATTGAAACTACTTTCAGCTCCGAAACCTTTTTTTAAATCATAGTGATTGAAACCAAATGTTTTCTTTTGGAAACGGACATCCCGCCAGCACGACCCATTTCTTTAGACTTATTTGGAATGAGGACATACAGATTAAATAATTTCAACACAAATGGAACCTTTTTATTCTGTTTGTCGTATGGACCGTTGTTCAGAATTCGCTAAACTCTCTGGTATGGATGCAGGTTACTTTGCAAAGTTAGGTTGAGTGTTCCTGTATAGATGGGGGGGGAGAGAGAGAGAGAGAGAGAGAGAGATGGGTGGGGTAGTGGTTATGTGTGTAGGGGGCAGGAACCGAGCACTAATTGGGGGAAAACATGTAATTGAACATTTTGTGGTGAGCATTTGGTCCCTGACGGTGCGAGAGTGGTTAGCATGAACACACACCTTGAGATGGGTCAAAATACACAGAGAAGAAAGAGCCCACAGATTCAGCAGTTTCTTTTCTCCTTCCCCTCTGTTTCTGCCTTCCTTTCCATCCATGCAATTCTAATCAGTGTCAAGTCGATCCCTCATTACTTTGTTCTTCCTGCCCTCTGTGGTTGTGAGTGGTGGTGAGTGATGTTGCGTGTGTTGGGATAATATGACTATAAAAGGTTGGGGCCGCAGAGCCTTAACACTAATCCGGGTGCAGAGTCTCTTTTATTAGCCCTGCCTGTGTCTGTCTGTCTTTGAGTGTGAGCGGGAGACAAAGATAGAGACAGAGGAAAGGGACACGGAGGGGGATGTAACGCACCAAAGACGACTAAACCCACATTGCACCTCCTCATCCTGGACTGCCGTTTCTCATTCAGCTGAAACAGATTTTCTTGTAGAAGCTCCAAATACAATAGCTGCACTTGAATTGATGTATGGTGGGTAAGAGTAAGAGCCACTTCATAGCTAGAACAACCACAAAAAGTGGGCTGTGTGTGTGTGTGTTCGGTGGAGTGGTGTGTGTGGGGTCTTTTTTTCCACCGTGTCAAAAGAAACAAATGACCTCAGTCCCCTTTGGTCACACGTGGACCTTCTGTCTGACCAAGAATGGTCAGAATCACAGCGGCAGCTGCGTTTTTTGTTCTCCAAGGACTTCAGTAATATCTAAGCACCTTTTTGTTACCATCATAACAAACACACTTTACTAAATTGTTAGAAAAATCAATATATCGATATTTGTTAAAGACATTTTGCAGTGATACCCTCACATTGGACTTGGATACAGTGCTTTGGCATCATGGGAAAAAGACAAGAGATACTGAGTGTAACATATGCACATATGTCCCGTCCTCCCTCAGCCTCCTGATAAGAATGTCTCTGGTTGATATGACACATGCTGCCACCAATGTATCGCCATGTTTGTTGGTGACGGTGACTTTGAGTTCAAGACGGTAATAAAAAAAGAAAAATTGACAGATGCTAAAACAATATTTCAGGTCAGACAAACAAAAAAAGTCTCCTTACATGGTATTATATAATATAATGAAACACAATTAAACTCTTTCTCCTGTTTTTCTATCAATGACGATGTTATTTGTGTCACCATCACTTTAATCATTGAGAAATAATCGGCCTCACCTGTATAAATATAGCACTTCAATAGCACATACTTTAACTTTCCAAAAAGGAAACGGGGTGAGTTACAACACATAAATATAGAACACAATTACACATTTAATCTAATTGGATTTTATTTGGGTGTGGGCTCCACTTGTGTGCCTGTTAAGGGGTTAGTTGCCTCGCAACTGTTCTCAAACACTTGTTTACTAAATCTGTTCAGCATTGCTCACAAATAGATGGACGACAACAGCAGTGATGGTTGTGGAAAATGTTATTTTTGTTCCCAGCATGATTATAGTTATATATTTAACATTTCTGTCAAGAGCTGAATTGATACAGTACAGCATTTGCGTACATTGGAGCCGTATTGTCCAACAAGGTTGGTGTTAATACAAGCCCTGTTGTTCAACATGAGTTCCTCTGTGTGGCTTGAGTCTGGGTCAAATTAACCAGCTTCCCCCAGAGGGGAAGTACAGCAATTAAACTTTGTTTGGAGGCAGATATTTGAAGCATACCTCAAAAATCATGGGACACACTGAAAACCAGAGACAAGTGGAGAGCATGCATATTTTATGATGCGTGCAAACTAAGAGATGTCTGGCTTCTAATTGCTGATACCTGAAAGCCAATAAAACTGGTATGTGTCTGCAACGTGCAGCGTCGTACCTTTAGCTATTTGTCACCTTTTTAACAGCATTTTGTTCCGAGTATAATGACATAATTGCTTTTTACTGGCACTAGATTCACTTTAGTTGATGTTAAGTGTGCATCAAGATAAGCTTAGTTTGTTTTTGTTTATAGAAGCAGACATGACACAACTCCAACCTCTTGGTTACACTGCTGATGTTGCCCTTTGCTCTTTGTAATATAACTTAACTTTCAATGTTCAATAAAACATTTTTGGCCATTTAGCTTTCTGATAGATGTTTCGTACTTGTATACTGATTAAACAATCTCTTAGTATGGATTTTCATTAAACAACCTACCAATAAAGAATGGCTACATACAGGAGAATTTGGACACACGGATTGCATTATGGCTGTGACCTTTCTTCCCACACATGCTGTGGTTAAGTCATTTTGAACCTCTCTTTTCTCTTAACAAGCTGTAAGCCCAGTAGACAGCGGGTCATAAAGAAGAAACAAAGGTAACTCAAAGATGAAGGCTTCTGCCATTAGACACGCATCAGTGAACGTACAGTAGAACCATCATCATGCGGTAAAGGACCAGGTCTTTCATTAGCTTTGCCCAAATACTTCTGTAATGGAATGGATCCATAAATCTTGTGATAAATACAGGGTGAATGTGTTCTTCCCACCCTCCTGCTTAATAATCTGTGATGCTGTTGGTTACGTAGATAATTCAAGCCGTTTGTGGTTCTTGTGTCTCTGCAGCTGACAGACGGTGGAAAGGCGGCTAAAGGTGGCATCGGTATCGGAGACATGGTTCTGTCTATTGACGGCATCGCCACGGAGGGCATGAACCACCTGGAGGCCCAGAACAAGATCAAGCGCTGCACTGGCAACCTCAGCCTCAACCTGCAGAAGTAAGCCATGAGCTCACGTGTGTGTGTGTGTGTGTAGTAGTTGTAAATTCACTTCACTTTAGAATGATTTAATATCCGAAGGTAAGTGGGAAGCCATTTATCTCCATGACAGCACATGAGCCATTCATTCCCTTTCAAACACTCCCAAACAACCCATCTCTGCAAATTTAAAGTCCACGCTTCCCCTTTGAACCCTGACATCCCGCATACAGGCAGATGTCCACTGTTGTTGTAGAAGTTAATCTTCGCTCTAACACAGCAACACCATTAGTTCTGCCTGATGTCCCATTCCCTGAAGGAAAGAGGAATAACTAAAATCCCAGCTAGAGCATCACACATGTGGACCACCCCCTCTTCCCCAAGGCCTACTCCTCTCTGTTTGGTGGAATCCTGTTGGACAGTGGAGCTGATTTTTCACAAGCACTTGTGTTGCAGTGTGTGTGTGTGTGTGTGTGTGGCTTTATATTGGTTCTCATGTGGTTTGAATTGTCCGATTCCTTGGCAGCACCTGTAGGCAAGCGTTTGTTTTCATTTAAACACAAATGTTCAAGGCTCCTACACTTGTAGATTTACAGTATGCAGTACACACAGAGGTAAAATTAATCGATTTTGTTACGGTTCTTGAAATCAAAATTAACTTAATTGAAGTATTGAAATACTCCGTTTTCTTTCACTTCTGTGAATTTTGAATTGTCTCTTCGTCGGTGTCTGGATTTCACATTCTGTCCTCCCTCCATGACTTTCATCTTTCTTTCACCACTCCCCTTGTTTGGGGCTAACTGAGCATGTCCTCTAATTTGTGTCCAAATGATGACAGACCAAAGATGTTTGCTGTTGGTTGAGTGGCAGAGAACACATTCTGTAATACCACAGGTTTTATAGTAATTTAGGGCCAGTGTGTGGGTCCCTGTTAAAGAGAGACCATGATCAAACTCTCATCTTTATGATGAGTGAAGCGGGTCTTAGAATCACATTTGGCTAAAGATCGCCGATGGATGATTTACCGGTCAAAGTGGAAGTTCATATTCTGATGGATTACAAAGGTTTGGCTGACAACAATGTGGAAGATTTACAACCCATCGGTCCCGCAGTCGTTTGATTTATACCTTTTAAGCTGTTTCAATTACACCGGACAGCCTTTCTCAGCATATTGAAAAAACATCAAGATAAAGGTTTCTTACTGATTGCTTATTACAACGATTAGTTTTAAGCAAAGTGTAGTTTGCCTCATGGTTTATATGGTGGAACAATACTTCTGCACATCCATCTGATTTTATAGTTTGTCTCCCTATGTGGATGAGACGACTAATGGGTCAACATTTTTGTGCTTCATCTAACATTTGGCATATAGTGTGAAAGAGATCGATATGAGCATGGTGCTTTGCAAGACTCAAAACTCAAACCTGCCAAACATTTGATTTATTATTATGCCTGGCTGGCACACCATATATCTTCTCTTAAAGGAACAGTTTGGGAAATATGCTTGTTTGCTTTCTCTGCATGAATTAGATCAGAGGATTGAAACCACTCTCCAGTCTGTTTAATATAAAGCTACAGTCCAAAGGTACAAAAAACCAACTGCTGCTCTCCAAGAAGCTAGCCAAGAAGTAGTCCAGCACCTAACCTTCCGTAAAAACCACAACCTGTTGTTTTTACACTTCATTGTTTGTACAAATTAAACAAATGTGATTTAATATATTATTTAGTCAGCTTTAGAGATGGTTGGTGGATTAAAAACAATCTTGTCTCATCATCTAACTATCAACAAGAAAGTGATTAAGCATCTTTCCCCGAAGACTTTTGTTTCCAATTAGGTACCTAAAGAGTTGCCAAGTCCCAGTGTAACTGAACAAATCTCATGTAAGGGATTATCTGTTCTGCATCGCTCTGTGTCCGTGGCAGACATCAGCCCTTCAAGGACTGATTCAGGCCCTATTGGAAACACATGGAACAGCTTTTTTCATTAACTGGCAGTATTATACTGTTTGTGACCATGGCAGCCGCTTTGGGGATAGCTGGCTCCAGGTTCTGCTTTACTAGAATACTTTAGAGTCCAGGAGATTGACAGTGTAATCCCTGGGCCTTCTCCAGACTCCATTAACAATAAGGAATAAGATCAGAGTTTTAAGGTTTCATTCTGTTTGTTGCCTGGCACTGTGAGTTGGACATACAGTGCTGTATATTCAAAAAGTGTCATGCCTAGGTCAACATCTGGACTTTAATAGGTTTACATGCGTAATGGAAAGAACCAATCTCCCTCATTTCTGTTAGTTTTTATAGGCGGCGTTCGCTTCTCTTTCAGTTTTTGTTCTCTGCACATTTTGATTGGGTTTGTCACTGGGTCAGATAGCAACGGGAATGATAATAGCGAGAAGATACAGAGAAATGTTAACAATTCATGCGGTGTCTGCATGTGTGTATTTTAAAAGGAGACAGGTGTTTATTCCTTTTCCAAATAAACGAGTGATGGGGAGAAGAGATGGACAGCAGATGTGTGGACAAGACAAGGAGAATAAAGTTGTTTCTCCAGGAAAAACTTAAACTCGTACAAAGCTAAATTTGTCCAGGTTCTAATTATTTTTTAAGGATGACATGGCAGATGTAAAGAGGGCCAAATTATCCTGGCACTGACTGGAACAGAACTGGGATTTATTGCCTGAAAGGTGAAGCCAGGTAAATGCATGAATGCAAATACCATGGTTACCGGCGTAATTAACACTCACCAACATTCATTTAGCCGTCTGTGAGACTTATGTCTACAGTGGAAAACCCATCGCAGTAAAGCAACCAGCGCTGAAACTGCTAGTAACAGGTGCCAAAATCACATCAGGGTAAGTTTGTTGTCCCACTTATTCCAGTTTATCCAGCTGATTTTCTGCGGCTCATTTTGCAAACTCTTGATGCACTATATAGGCTTTGGCAGTCACTCTATCAACTGGTTTCCCTGTTAAAACAGCAGGCTTTTTACATCACACAGGTTCACAAACCAGATCTCACATAGGCGAAAGGCTTCGTTCATCCAGGAATGATCCCTCTTTCATTGATTTTTCTTTTTTTTTTTTTTACTTACAAAGATTCCATCTCACTGGCTTCACCGTTTGTTTCAATGATTATTGTATATGCAGAGTGCACAGACAACATTTTCTAGATCTGCGTGAGTTTCACTTCTACATCTCAGCATTTGGCTACAGCAGCAAGTTTCTGGCAATGCAGTGTGTAAATTGAATTACAGGGCTGTAAGTGTGTCGCTTTATCACAGCGTTGACTGAGCAAGAGATTCTGTAGGCTTTCATAGATTAGTATCATCGGTGTCACATACGATGATTCAGTTAATTGTTTAAAACTGTCTACCAGCTTCTTATTATTTACAAATCTGTGTAAATCTTACATTCAATTAGATACATTTCCTGCATAACTGGAACAGCGGTAAGGGAATAAATAGTTACTAATCTGAAATGTGTTGGTTGTTTTACTTGACATTTCAATCATTGTAGGAGTTTTTATTCTGTCTAGGAATGCACTCTGTATTGTTGTGCTCTCAAAAAACAAACATTCGGTTCCTGACCTTTTGGAGCCTTCAGAGCTTTTTGTCAAACTAAATCAGTGTTTGTGTCTCCACCTCTCCTGCTGAGAGAGTGAGGTTTAAATATTGAAAGAAACTGGAAAGACAGAAAGATGGAAAAAAAGCTAAAAGAAGTCAAGGGAGGCCAATGGAAGTAACGCAGCATGGCAAAGAGATGAAAGAGACGCATAAACAATGATGGAGATGGATTCTCTAAGGCCGACAGTTTCTGATAAACTCGGTTAGTATCTGCAGTTTCTGTAAACCATGGATCACCCTGCTTGATGGCACCAGGTGAGAACGTTCAAACATCACTGCTCCATGTTTAGATTCATAGATATCCATACTATTTGACTGTGAGTACTTATGCACGACTGTGGAAAAAGTGCACTTGAGTTTCTGGGGAAGGGAATCAGCTGAAACTGAATTAATTTAGATGAGAACTATATAAAAAAAACGAATATATTGTTAGCTAGACGGATGGTTTTACTATGAGGGAGATGTAGACACATGTGGAGCATGTGGTCTTAAATCGGGTAATGTTTTAGTACATAGCATTGGACCTATATTGAACAAGAATTGATAACAATGTTTATATACTACTAACTTGCAACAGCAAATATGTTTCTTGCTAACAAAATAAAGAAACCCTAGTGATGCAAAATGTTGATTACGAAAATATTCAGATCTTCTACAATATCTGAATATCCTATTAACTAAAGCATGATTCATTTTTTTATGGTTATGTTTAGGCAATCGATTTATTAACATTTAGTCAAACCGAACCATTGTTAGCCACATCAGCCAAAAGTACTTTAGTTGCATAAACCTGATTTGTCAGCAGAGCAGGATTAGGTTAGATGAACTGTGAGGTAGAGCAGAGGGAGGTGTGGTGGAAAAGATAATTAAAGATTGGCAGAGAGAATGTTTACAAGGAAAAAGAAGGGAGAGAAAGAAGGCAGGAAAGAGAGAGTGAAAAGCTGACATTGAGGATGTTGTTGAAGAATAGGATTAGAACGTAAACTTTAAGGTAAATTGCTGAGAAATTACAACCTCAGAGGGAAGTTGTTTCTCCAAGCTGATGACTCTGTCATTAAGCAGTCCCACTATAGTGCAATCATAAAGTCTCAACACTTAAACTAGCCTCTTAAGTGATGCCATTATTCTCTTTAGAGGTACACCAAAGTACTAAGATGTCCATTACAACCAATCAACCCGTGCCTCAACAAAACCACCTTTGTATTTCACTGCTATGCCCCTCAGCTGCCAGTGTCTGGTTTTAGGCTTTATTCCCAACAGTTAAGCTATTTTAATGGGCCTGTGTGCATGTGTGTGTTTGAATGCTTTTCACCAGTGATGGCACAGTCTCAAGACGTCGATGTGTTCGAGGCTAAAAGGTCCAAACTGAAATGCAGTTGACCTGATGCACTTACCCACA